TATTGGGAAGATGGAGGGAATATTTTGAGGAATTGTTAAATGTTGATGAAGATAGGGAAGCTGTGATTTCGTGTATAGGGCAAGGAGGAATAACTCTTGTAGGAGTGAGGAAGAGCCAGTTGTGAGTGTGGGGGAAGTTCGTGAGGCAGTAGGTAAAATGAAAGAGGGGTAAGGCAGCCGGGATTGATGGGATAAAGATAGAAATGTAAAAAGCAGGTGGGGATATAGTTTTGGAGTGGTTGGTGCAATTATTTAATAAATGTATGGAAGAGGGTAAGGTACCTAGGGATTGGCAGAGAGCATGCATAGTTCCTTTGTATAAAGGCAAAGGGGATAAAAGAGAGTGCAAAAATTATAGGGGGATAAGTCTGTTGAGTGTACCTGGTAAGGTGTATGGTAGAGTATAATTGAAAGAATTAAGAGTAAGACGGAGAATAGGATAGCAGATGAACAAGGAGGCTTTAGGAAAGGTAGGGGGTGTGTGGACCAGTGTTTACAGTGAAACATATAAGTGAACAGTATTTAGATAAGGCTAAAGAGGTCTTTGTGGCATTTATGGATTTGGAAAAGGCGTATGACAGGTGGATAGGGGGGCAATGTGGCAGATGTTGCAAGTGTATGGTGTAGGAGGTAGGTTACTGAAAGCAGTGAAGAGTTTTTACGAGGAATAGTGAGGCTCAAGTTAGAGTATGTAGAAAGAGGGAAATTTTTTTCCCAGTAAAGGTAGGCCTTAGACAAGGATGTGTGATGTCACCGTGGTTGTTTAATATATTATAGATGGGGTTGTAAGAGAAGTAAATGCGAGGGTCTTGGCAAGAGGCGTGGAGTTAAAAGATAAAGAATCACACACAAAATGGGAGTTGTCACAGCTGCTCTTTGCTGATGACACTGTGCTCTTGGGAGATTCTGAAGAGAAGTTGCAGAGATTGGTGGATGAATTTGGTAGGGTGTGCAAAAGAAGAAAATTAAAGGTGAATACAGGAAAGAGTAAGGTTATGAGGATAACAAAAAGATTAGGTGATGAAAGATTGAATATCAGATTGGAGGGAGAGAGTATGGAGGAGGTGAACGTATTCAGATATTTGGGAGTGGAACGTGTCAGCGGATGGGTCTATGAAAGATGAGGTGAATCATAGAATTGATGAGGGAAAAAGAGTGAGTGGTGCACTTAGGAGTCTGTGGAGACAAAGAACTTTGTCCTTGGAGGCAAAGAGGGGAATGTATGAGAGTATAGTTTTACCAACGCTCTTATATGGGTGTGGAAGCGTGGGTGATGAATGTTGCAGCGAGGAGAAGGCTGGAGGCAGTGGAGATGTCATGTCTGAGGGCAATGTGTGGTGTGAATATAATGCAGAGAATTCGTAGTTTGGAAGTTAGGAGGAGGTGCGGGATTACCAAAACTGTTGTCCAGAGGGCTGAGGAAGGGTTGTTGAGGTGGTTCGGACATGTAGAGAGAATGGAGCGAAACAGAATGACTTCAAGAGTGTATCAGTCTGTAGTGGAAGGAAGGCGGGGTAGGGTCGGCCTAGGAAGGGTTGGAGGGAGGGGGTAAAGGAGGTTTTGTGTGCGAGGGGCTTGGACTTCCAGCAGGCATGCGTGAGCGTGTTTGATAGGAGTGAATGGAGACAAATGGTTTTTAATACTTGACGTGCTGTTGGAGTGTGAGCAAAGTAACATTTATGAAGGGATTCAGGGAAACCGGCAGGCCGGACTTGAGTCCTGGAGATGGGAAGTACAGTGCCTGCACTCTGAAGGAGGGGTGTTAATGTTGCAGTTTAAAAACTGTAGTGTAAAGCACCCTTCTGGCAAGACAGTGATGGAGTGAATGATGGTGAAAGTTTTTCTTTTTCGGGCCACCCTGCCTTGGTGGGAATCGGCCAGTGTGATAATAAATAATAATTATTGTAAGTGCATTTTTTAAGGTCTGAAATGGACTAATCTATTTTACATTATTTCTTATGGGAACAGATTCATTCGGGAATGGCACTCGAACAGCCTTCTGGAACGAATTATGGCCGAAACTCTGGGTACCACTGTTTTTCAATTAATTTAAATGAGGAAAATTGACTTTGCAAACGAGCAAATCCAGATGCGAGCAAGGTCATGGAACGGATTAAACTCGTAAGCAGAGGTTCTACTGTATACCAGAAATCGTATAAATGTTGCAAAGGTAACATTAAAACAATATCAGTGATGGTTGACACAAACTCACTACCATTATAGTATGCTCCTTACTTAGCAACGAATTCATTTAACACTGAGGTCTTAGGAATGGAACTCTGTAGTTACGTGAGGAGAGGCTGTGTAGTATATACTGTATACAGTACCTTCTTATTCTTTTCTTTTTATTGGATTGAAAAAGCTCTGAGAAAAAAATTTCCTCAATAAATATCCTGTTACACTTGTCTTTTTCTACACTTTTCTACCTCTTTGTCATTCCCTAATTGATTTTTCCAGAAGTGCATGAATACTGTATCATTAAGCACTGTAATCAACATTAGAGCAATTGTGACAACTTACATTTCTTCCAAATATTCCTGTCTAAGGCCTTGTTTTACTGAACAGTACTGTACTCCATTCCTACATAACCTGAGCTTATTCCTCATTAAAAAACTTAACATTTCTTACCTATTATAAGTGTCAGGGAGACCCCAACATTGCCCTAACCCATCTGTTCTTGAGCCTGGGTTTTGTGCAAGTGTATTTTCATTGTTACATGTGATTACATCCAGCCTTCTGCCTATTTTTTTTCTCAGTACCTATGTCTCTGTAGTTAAATTTCTCTCTTATCCTGTCCTCCTCCCCCTTTCATTGGTAAGGTCATTAACCTTAATGAGGACAGTTCTAGTGTATGGGCTATATAGGGTGGATGGGGGAAGCTTAAAGGTAATCTAATCTGTACTTTTTTTTATTATTCAACCAGCTGTGTCCCACTGAGGCAGGGTGACCCTAAAATGAAAACAAGAGGTTTTCTTTTTAAACTTAGTAATTTATACAGAAGGGGTTAATAATCCAAACATTGTTTTTCCTATATTTCAGTGCATCTCTAAACATAGTGCTTCCACTGTGCCTAAGAAAACATGCAAAAAGTAGTAAAAAGTGACCAGCTAAATTACATGGATACTTAATAGAAATGATAAAAGCTTGCACTGATCTCTGATGCACTGGAAAATCTGTTTTTTATTCTGAATTAATAATGTATAGAGTGAAAAAAATTGAAGAAAAAAATTGCAAACAAAGGATTGCTATACCGTGAAACCTTACTTTAACGAAGTACTAGAGAAAGAGGGTGTCTAGTAAGCCAAATGACAAGATTGTTTTTCCAGTACAGTCAAACCTCGGTTATCGTATGCCCTAGTTTTCGTTTGATTCGGTTTTTGACGACTTTTTTCATCAAAATTTTGTCCCAGTTTTCGTACATCTGCTCGGTTTTTGTACAGTTGAAAATGGTCCGTACCAAACTCGTCTGCCTGCCTGTGTGACTCGGCCAATCATTTCCTGGAATCGAACGCTCACACAAAGCATCCCATTCATTCGTGACTCAGTCTGCCTTTGTTTCTCGTTGAGTGAACATCACCCCACGCATTCATCTGAAACATTTCATAATAATCCATTGTTTTTTGTGCTTGTTTATTGAGTGCGACTGCTAAATAAGCCGTCGTGGGGCCAAAGAAAGTTCTGAGTGCCAGCCCTTTGATAAAGAAGGCAAGAAACGTGATAGAATTCAAGAAACTCCTAGCAAACTATGAAAGTGGCGTACATGTGGCCGATCTCACCAGGATATACGGGAAGTCTGCATTAACGATCAGTTCCATCATGGCAAAGAAAAAAGAAATCAAGGAAGCTGATGTTGCGAAAAGGGTAAATGTGCTAATGAAACAGAGATCACAAACAGTCAAAGATGTTGAGAAGTTGTTGTTGGTGTGGATCAACAAAAAACAGTTAGCAGGAGATAGTGTTTTGGAGGCAATAATTTGTGAGAAGGCAAGGCAGCTGCATGTGGATCTCACAAAGAAAATGCCTGCAGAGCTGCAAGACCTTCAACTGAAACAGCAATAGACTGCAGCTCAGAAAATTACTTCAGAGGAGGAGGAAGAGAGAGGGGAGAATGTGCCCTCTTCAGTGATTAAGGACATGTGTGCAGAGTGGAATGAGTTGCAAAGTTTTGTGGAGAAATATCACCCTTACAAAGCTGTTGCAAGCCGTGTCTGCAACATGTTCAATGACAATGCTGTGTTGCATTTTAGGCAAATCTTAGAGATGCCAGAAACAGACCTCTCTGGACAGACTTTTTCTGTAACAGGGGTCCAGTGACTCTCAAGCTGGTCCTAGTGCCAGTAAAAGACAAAGAAGGGAAGTAACCCCGGATAGGGCTTGATGCCTGAATTCCTTATAGACGGGATTCCCCTCCCAAATGATAACCTCTCCTCCCTCTCCCCTCCTCACCATCTTCCGTATGCCAACAATAGTCTTCAATAAAGGTAAAAGTGATGTTAAATGTTCATTTATCCATTTCATTAGTCATTTATATTTTTCATTCTTTTCTGTATGTAAATCTATAGCTTTTCTCTATAAAATGTATTTTTGTTAATATTTTTGGGTGTCTGGAACGGATTAGATTTACATTATTTCTTACCATACCATACCCCGGCCGGGATTGAACCCGCGGTCGGAGAGTCTCATTATTTCTTATGGGAAATATTGCTTCAGTTTTCATACGATTCAGTTTTCATCAGACTTTTTCGAATGGATTAATCACGAAAACCGAGGTTCCACTGTATAACAAATACTGGAAATTTTAGATTTGAGACTATCCAGTAAATATGGGATCAATTTACCCAGTCGACCGTAACAGTAATGAATAATTCTGGATTTAACAGTCATGTTTGGACACAAATTTTGTCCAGTTTCAGTTACATTGGGGTTCATTAAATCAAGGTTTTTCTGTTGTACACATATATGCATTTTCTCAGCTCTGTACTGTATTAATTTTTTTGCAGGTTGCTTTTATGGCATATCGAGTAAATGGCCAATACATCATGGAAGGGTTGGCATCATCTTTCATGTTTGCCCTGGGTGGCATTGGTTTTATTGTTCTTGACCAAACCCACTCCCCCTCAACACCCAAGCTTAACCGTATCCTCCTCATCATTATTGGATTTGCCTGTATCATCATTGCAGCAATTGCATGTTATGCATTTATGAAGATCAAACTTCCGTAAGTATTACTTAAATTGGTTGGTTTTCTTTGTCAGGTATATAACTCTGTATTACAAAAACATAAGAATATAAGAAAGAAGGAACACTGCAACAGACCTACTGGCCCAGTCAAGGCAGGTCCAATTCTCCAACCGGCTTAAGCCAATGCCCTAACCTAGTCAGGTCAGGTGACATTCTTTGTCGGGCAATGTCTGATATAATGGAATTTCACACTTAACTCCTTTAGAGTGGATAGAGTAACTCAATATAAGATGAATGAGGCCATATAAATGGAATTCTGATGGTTAGTTTCCGAGCAATTGCTAATCTGCGAAAGGCAGTTAAACTCGCCCATGCCCGAAATAGGGAGTATAAATTTGAATGTTGCAAACTTGCAATTGTTAATAAAACACCCAATAACTATTTTTAAAATTTATTATACAAACATACAATATCAAAAACATCAATGGAACTTGTATCAAAACAGTTTGTAAGTATTAGAAAAATATAAAAATGAAAGAAATAGCAACAAGGACACATTGCAAAGGGATAAAACTTTCAAGTCCCATATTCCTGAGATTCATGAGGAAGAGCAATCATTGTATATTACTAATTGCTAGAATGGAAGTCTATGAAGCAATTTTTAGCCTTCTTTATGCAAAGATTTACTTTGCATACAGAACAGTAGAATGCGGTTGTGACAAATTTTTTCGAGTTGCTGCAATACTTGCAACTAAGCGACTTCCCTAACACTGGCCAGTGGTTTAGAGCTTTGTCAAGCCTCACACTGTCATCAGGCCTTTCTGCACATTGGCCATGCAGAGCTGTCACCATGCTGACACCATTGGAAGTACATGGTGAATTACTTGAAGGTCTTGTAGATGTTCTTAGGGTGCTGCGTCTATACTTTTGGCCTTTAGACCTTGCGCTGACAGAGATTTCATTCCTGAAAAGCTTCAATGGCATGTACTTGGCATTTAGTGATCGACACTCATGGCAGTAAACAAGCCATGCATTCACAACAGCAAGATCAAGAACATAGGCAAACAGCCGCATGTACCAACGTTTACATTTCATTGGTGTTTTGTACAGATGCACCAACATGTTACTTTTGTCAATACCTCCCATGTTTGCATTATAGTTCTTGATGACTGCAGGGCACTGTAACTCGTTTTTGGACTTTGTAGCCTTGTTATATCTTTCAACAAGACTCACAGGATTGATCCCTACATCACTTGTCACTAAAGTCACAACTTTGTTGTCCTTCCATCTTACAACAAGGACACCATCATTGGTTTTGAAGCTAAAATTGCCCCTGTCCACAATGTTCTTTTCCATTTGTTTGACAGGCATCAGATCTGGCTTACCACATCTATTTTCACGTACTGTTCCAGTGTATCTGCAGTTATACTTATCTCTTAGTACCTTGACCAAAGGTAGACTTGAAAAGAAATTGTCAGCATAGATTGCTGATGTGTTGGTCTTGTTCAGAGTTGTTGCAAGTACCAGAGCAATCTTTGTACTTATTGGTAGTTTAGCTTCTTCCTGTTGAAGCTTTATGGGATGGCTGTCAAAAGTTGGTGTGCCTTGATACATGAGTATATCATGTATGATTCCATCTTCACTTGCACGACAAAAAAGTTTGAAACCCCACTTGTCTGGTTTCGTTTTGATGTACTGCCTTAGGTTTCCAGTGGTTTTACCCTTGAAACCAACCATGACTTCATCAATAGATTGCTTGGGTGTAGTTGGAACTTTCAAGCAAGCATTAGTTAGTGCAGTGTAAAGAGGCCTTACTTTGTGGAATCTGTCATTATCCTTTTGTGTGTTGTCATTGAAATGGATAGTACGTCTAAGTAACCTAAACCTCTTAGACCCCATGACTTCTGCAACCTGGGTGATCCTAAATGAACCTGCCCAATAGTCTTCGAGTGATGGTGATTGAATAATACCCATGAACAACAAAATACCTATGAACCTCATGATCTCTTCAGAATCTGTTGCAAAATTATTATTTATGTTTTTTTCCTTGGCATACAAATTTGTTTGAAATGCTATGTTATCTACCATGTCTGGAATAAAGAAATCACAAAAATACTGATATGGAGACCTAATTTGAAGAGGCTTTTCATGTTCATATGCCGGCAAAGGGTTATTTTGGAGGTCAACCTGGGACCACTTAGGTTCACCTTGAAGAGCAAGATCGTCATAAATATGTTCCTCATCAGGGTACTCCTCAATCGTAATGCCTCTCTTTTTCTTGACTAATTTCTGCTTTTTGGCTGGCCTTTCTTCCTCCTCGTCTTCACTTGACACCTCTGCATCTGGTGGCAAGTATTCATCACCACTATCAACCAATTCAGGGTCATCTACCTCTGGTTATGAGTCACTGTCATCCAAAATGCAGACATATTTTGACCTGGTGCTGGAGGGCTCCCCATAAAACAATTTCTCATTGATCTGGAAGGACAATAAAAAACGTTCTGTATACATCCGGGACACCTACCGAATTCATATATGCAGCAGAAATTTTTTTATAAATATTTATTTTACTGAAAGTGGACTATGTCCCTACTCGGGCAGAGGCAGTCCTGACTGCCCTTCTTTTGTTGCACTTTTTCCAACTGCATGCTACACTCACAGATAACTTCACACGGACTTTATGTATATATCAAAATATGCCTAAACTATTCATGTACACACTAAACACAACAATCAGTACTTACCGACATTGTAGAGGGCAAAATCAAAAGTATATTAGTGACACTAGAGGGAAAAACCCCACTCTGGGCGACGCCAAGCCACAAGTGTTTACATTTTGTTCTCTCAACCAATGGGAAGCCGGCAAATGCATCACCACTTAGCTGAAGCGACTCAGGGAAGGCTTGTGATTGGTCAGAATTAAAGAACGGGAATCCAGATGCGCAGCACGAGTAAGATGACATGCGTAAAGGTGCACTTGTTTAAAGGCAGTCAAAACTGCCTGTGGAAAATATTTTAATTTTCCGAAACTATAGTGCCTAATAGGTGTTTAATGTGTCAATATGGGTCAAAAATGTATTTGAAAATAGGATAGAACCAGGAGTTCCCTTTGCGCATGCGCGGATGTGCGGGGGTATAGGTCGAACTGGGGCACAAGGGGGGGAGTGTTTTGAATGTAGTGAGGAGGCCGGGAAAGCATGGAACCAGGAAATTGGCGTTCACGGCGGCCTAAGGATTAATATAGGCCTCATTTCATAATAAGAAGTGTCGTAACTGTTCCTGGTGGAGAGTGAGGGAACGTGATTTACGGGACCACTGTAATAAGGTGGTAAAATGAGTGAATAATGGTAGGACCGGTGGTGACTGGCGCATCACCATGGACTGTGTCCCGGGGAAAAATACCCATGATTTAATCATCACTCATCGGTCTCAAATCTCAATAGAGTGGCCTCCAATGTGTATAATAATTATGAGACGTTAAATCGTCTTGTGAATGGTAATGTAATCAGTGATAATAACATTAAGTTAAGAGAATGCGGGAAGTGAAATAAATCTCCCTGCTACGAGTGAACTCTTGGTTCTCGTCCCGAGGATAGCGAAGTTTTATGGAATCACGACTTCTAAACCGGGACAAACCAACGGATACCTCATCCTGCTGGAATAAGAACAGTGTCGGTGTAGCAGGACATCGAAATGAGATGGTGAATGGAGGAAATAAGGAGTATCAATCACCCACAGTTAAGTAACTCTTCTAGTTATAGCAGACTGATACTGGCCAGTTAGGTATGTTATAATTGGATAGGTTATGAGTGATCCAGCTACATCAAGTGACCACCAGAGAATATCTGGTAAGTGGTGAGATATGTACAAGTGTTTTTTCTTGATGGATATATCCATGTGTGGCCTACCCCTCCCCCTTCATTCAGTTACACTAATATAATCTATACAGTCCACAATTAATTAGTAGCGCCGTACTTGTGGGTGCTATCCAATCCATACTGGTCTCGGATAGATATGGATAAGATTGTGAGGTCGAAGGAACCACCTGCCGTGACCAGGGGGGTTAAGTTTTCTTACATGTCTACACGGGGTGACTACGGTAAACAATATGGTTGTCTCCCAGTGAGATTACTTGTATGTATATAATGTTGAGGTACATACAGGTAATCACCCCTAGAAAATTTTCCATATCTGCCTGCTGGTCCTTCCTGAACCGGATGCAATCAGTGAAAAAATTAATTGAATTAATTACTTAATAATTAGGTGACTGATTGAAGGAAGTGGGTATAGGGTACACAAGTTTAATTGATCGTGTGGTGGATGATAATTAGCCCAATTAATTGCTAGCACATGTGTGGCTAGGATTTATACAAGAGTAAAGTGCAAGAATTACTCTTATAAGGCGCCTACTTAAGTTGTATAATCAGTGATTAATAATTCTCTAACCATGACTGGATCTGATGGAGTTAATGTGGCTGACAAGTCCGTGAATTTTAGAGTAATGAAAGCATCATTACAGGCTATTAAAAAGCCTTTGTGACGAAGGCACTTGATTTAATGAATCAAAGAACCGTGAACCCTAATGAATTAAGTTACTTTTAGATGCTTTAGAGAGTAGATTTGATTGGTACAAATTGTGGTTTAAAGACTGTGAAAGAGATCTGCTGGAGAATTGTGCAGATGGAATGGAAATGAATGTTTTAATTAATCAGCATTACGAATTGGAAGAAAAACTGTCTTGTAAAAGTAAGGCTGTGAATAAATTAAAGGGTGTAAGCCAGGCAGTTGATCAACCTATTAATGCAAAGGGTGTGTTTGCCAAAACCTCCAGAGTACGGTCTGGGGGAAAATTTCAGACTAGGTCGGCAAGAATTAATTGTTCAATTGCAGACCAGTCAGCCAAACAGTTCTAAGGATATAACACATAACGACTCTGAAGTATCTGTCAAGTCTCAAAAGGGAAAAATAATCCCAGTGGTAATAATCATAGTTAAGAGTTAAATAGGCACATATCAAGTGACAGGAATCAGTAATAGT